AAAAATATAAGTGCAATCTGTAGAAATCACAGAGTCATGTTGAAGGTGATAGCTTATTACAAAATAACACATTCCAAACACTTCGACATGAAAGCAAGTTCAGAACAAGAATATGCTGCTTTACTGAACCACCCAGGCACCCCGAGAGAGAGATTTAAAACTTACAAAATAGGATGCACAAAAGAAAAATTCTACGTCCAAAAGGGTCATCCTCAAAATAGCTATCAATTTTTTTCATTTAAAGGATATAAAGGATAGTTCCCCTAATTCATTTCACTTAATCCCTTAATATTTCCCTTAGTCAGACGGTGACTACTCTCTTGTATCTTCCATTTTATATTCGAAACCAATCAAATTCTTACACAGGAACAAGGATGCTGAAGTAAGCAACGGGAGACTCGAACACCAGTACTGGCTATGCCACTAATCAGCTCTGTGGCTTCAGTTGTTTTACATTTGGTGTTCCAGTGTCTTCATCTGTAACACAAGATAGTTCATCACAGCTCACGCCCTACATAAAACGGGCGCCTGGGTGGCTCAGTTGGGTAAGTGTCTGACTCTTGATTTTGACTCAGGTCATGACCTCATGGTTCGAGAGATCGAGCCCCATGCTGGGCTCTGCGACGACAGTGTGGAGTCTGCTTGGGGTTCTCTCTCTGCCCCTCCCCTACTTGCTCTCTTGAGCTTTCTCTCAAAATACATAAATAAACATTTTTTAAAAAGTTAACGCAAAATGTACTGGAGGCCTAAATGTAAGAGCTAAAACTATAACGCTTAGAAGAAAACATAGGAGGGGCGCCTGGGTGGCTCAGTGGATTAAGCGTCCGACTTCAGCTTGGGTCATGATCTCGCGGTTCAGGAGTTCGAGCCCCACATTGGGCTCTCTGCTGACAGCTCAGAGCCTGGAGCCTGCTTCAAATTCTGTGTCTCCCTCTCTCTCTGCCCCTCCCCTGCTCACGCTCTGTCTCTCACTGTCTGTCAATAATAAATGTTAAAAAAAATTTTTTTTAAAGAAAGAAAACATAGGAAAAAAAAACTGATGTTGGATTAGTAATGACTGCTTATATACACCACCAAAAACACACACAAGAGAAAAAAGTAATAAACCTTACCAAACTTCAAAACTTTTTTACCTTAAAAGACACCGTTAAGAAAATGAAAAGACTACAGACCTGGAAAACAATGTTTGAAATCATATATCAGGTGAAAAACTCATAGCCAAGTAACACACACACACACCATAACTTAGTAAGAATTGCCTCCATGGGCAAAACATGTGAACGGACATTCCACCAGAGACGGATGGACGAATGGACACGTCACTAGTCACTAAAGAAATGCAAGACAGAACCACCACATACTACTTCCTACCAACCAGGACAAAGATAAATAGGAACCTTCACGCAGGGCTGGTGGGAAGGAAAAGTGATACAGTCACTATGAAAGGGTCTGTCAGTTTCTTAAAAAGTTAAATAGAAATTTACCCCGTGACCCAGAAATTCCACTCGAGGAAAATGAAACATGTTCATATTAAGATCTGATAGGCGAATGCTCGTAACAGCATTACTGCAAAGAGCCAAAAAGCAGAAACAGCCCGATGTCCATCAGGAGGCGTCCAATGAGAAGGAGTAACGCGCCGCCACGGGCTGCGGGGGAAGCGGCAGAAAACACTGCGCCAAGGAAAAGAAGCCAACACAAAGGATCACACATTATATGATTACATTTACATTAAATATTCAGAAAAGGCAAATCTATAGAGACAGAGAGTAGATCTGTGGTTGCCCGAGGCAGGGGGTGGGGACAGGGAGTGACTGCAAATGGACATGAGGCATCTTTTTGGAATGATGGAAATGTTCTAAAATTGGATTGTGGGGATGACTGAACAACTCTGAAAATTTACTAAAAAAATTATAGAATTGTACACCAAATACAGGTGGATTTTATGGCATATAAATTGCAACCCAATCAAGTTGTTTTTAAAAAAGAAAAAATATTATGCTAAGAAGCCAAACGCAAAAGACGATGTGTTGTTATGATCTCATTTACACAAAATGTCCAGACAAGGCAAACCTATGGGGACACCTAAAGGCTTGTGGCCGCCTGGGGTTAGGGGCGGGGACAGGGACTAACCGGAAACAGGCCCATGAAGACATTCTTAGACTGGACCATGCTGGCTGGTGTACGGCGCAATTTACTAAAAACCACTGAATTTTATACTTGAAAATGGGTGACTTTTATAGCATTAGATTATTTTTTAAAATAAAATGGTAGGGGCGCCTGGGTGGCTTAGTCGGTTAAGCGTCCGACTTTCGCTTGGGTCATGATCTCGCGGTTCGTGGGTTCGAGCCCCGCGTCGGGCTCTGTGCTGACTGCCACCTCAGAGCCTGGAGCCGGTTTCAGAGTCTGTGTCTCCCTCTCTCTCTGACTCTCCCCTGCTCACGCTGTCTCTCTCTCTCTCTCTCTCTCTCCTAGAAATAAATAAAAACATTAAAAAAAAACTTTTAAATAAAATGGTAAAGTTATTTTTTTAATGTTTATTTTTGAGAGAGAGTGCGAACGAGCATGGGGGAGGGGCAGAGAGCAAGGGGACAGAGGATCTGAAGTAAGCTCTGTGCAGACAGCAGAGAGCTGGATGCGGGGCTCAAACTCCTCACCTGTGGGATCACGACCTGAGTCGAAGTTGGATGCTTAACCTACTGAGCCACCCAGGCGCTCCAGTGAAGTTATTTTTAAAAGTGAAATGGTCAAGGGGCACCTAGGTAGCTCCGTCAGTTGAGCGTCCGTCCCACTCTTGATTTCGGCTCAGGTCATGATCTATCCAGCCTGCGTTGGGCTCTTCGCTGTGTGTGGAGCCTGCTGACGCTTCTCATTCATTCTCTCTCTTTCTCCCCCCGAGCCCCGCCTCTCTCCCTGCTCGCGTGGACTAGCTCTCTCTCTCAAAAGAAAAACAAAATTAAACATAAGATGGTCAAACCACATTGGAACTCTTGGGCACTTCGGGAAGCTGAAAACCCTGACCCTGACCCTGACCCAGAGGGCTGAGATTCCTTTTTTTGCCCACTCACAGACACCCTATTGGTCTGGGGATAATACCAAATAAATAAATCTCTAAGTTTCTAGAGCCCTATGTCACCGTAACAGCAGAGCCATAAAGAATGACCGCAACCATTGTCTACATCCCAGAAAGATGTGGATCTTACCAGAAAGGAGAGAAGTCCCCTTCTAAAACCATGATAGGGATACCCTTTCTCTACTTCTCAGAGATCATCTTCAAATCGCCCACTTAAATCTCTTTCTTTATTATTACTTTTTTTAAAAATACTTTATTGTCAAGTTGGTTTCCATATAACACCCAGTGCTCATCCCCACATGTGCCCTCCTCCGTGCCCATCTCCCCCGACCCCCCTCACACCCATCAGTCCTCACTTTGCTTTTTCTTTAATAGGACACTGGGTGAGGGAGTCCCCGGGTGGCTCAGTCCATTAAGCGTTAAACTTTGGCTCAGGTCAGGATCTCACAGCTTGTTGAGTTCGAGCCCCGCGTCAGGTTCTCCGCTCCCAACGCGGAGCCCGCTTCCCGTCCTCCGTCTCCCTCTCTCTCTGCCCCACCTGTGTTCTCTCTCAAAAATAAATAAAATTAAAAAAAAAAAAAAAAAGGAAACTGACTGAGGAGCCCAGAAGCAATGGATCAAGATAGAGACCTAGCCTGCTCTCTTTAGAACCAGCCAGTATGTGTCAAAGACCCTTAAGGAAAAAGACGTCATTTCTTTCTTATAAAACTCAACCCAGATTTGTTTGGAAGGAGGCGAAAAGACAAAAAGACAGAAAGATGACAAAGTTTCTCTAAAATACAGACAAACTGCAGTAAACTCACACCCAAGGCAGCTGAGGAGTTTTCGGCCAGTCTTGCTACAACACTGATCTTAGGACAGGATGCTGATTTCCTCCAACACAGAGGGGTCCGCTCGCGTCAGTCGGCCTGAGCTTCTGTTTAGCTGAACCCACCCTCTTTTGATTTCCAAAGTCACTGGATTATTGTTGTCCAACAAATACTCCCGTCATCCCAAGTCCCCGCCCTCCCCCAGCCACCGAGCCTGAGAATTACAATCCACGTTTGTGCAAGTTTTGGTCTCTGCCAACCGGTATTCCTGGACCTCAAATCTGCTCCACGCGCAGAAGCCAGGGCCGTGGGACCACGTCATGTCTCCGCTTGAACCCCTCCCACCCACGTGAAAGAAGTTCCGAACCCTCACCGCGCCTGGGAAGGTCCCCCTCCGCCCCTGCCAGTTTTCCTTCGGGTCCTGAAACACGCCAAGCGCGCTCCCTCCTCAGGACCTTTGCACTTGCTCGTCCCTCAGCAGCAGGAGGAGCCTTCCCCGGATTCTTAATCCTCCTGCTCCTTCGGCGCTCGCTCAACCTAAATGCCACCGCCTCAGAAAAAGAATTTCCCTCGAAGTCACCCTAACTGGGTCTCCAGGCCACTCGATCAGAACCTCTGGTTGATTTCCTTCCCGGCGCCTGCCAAGCCTCGTAATTCCGTTTATTTGCCGAGCTCTTCACCGCCCACCTCCCAGGGCTGGGGTCAGCCGCAGCCGCGGGGAAGCGGCGCCTCCGCCTCACCGGAGAGGACCGCCGGCTCCACGGCAGCACCGGCGGGCGCCTCGCGGGCAGCCGAGGGCTCTCACCCCGGCGCGGGACCTAACCCCTGCCCCAGGGTCGCCGAGGCGGGCGCCGTGCGCACCACCCGCCCACCGCGTCTCGCACAGCCTCCCTGAGGCCTGTCCCGCGCCCGCACCCCCCCCCGCCACCGCCCGGGTCCCGCATCTGTCCCCACCCAGATCTCTCCCGGGCCCTCAGACCCCCCCCCCCGGGGCCTCCGCCTCGCACGCGCCGCACACACCGGGCCCGCGAGCGCCCACGGGGGTGTGCGGCTCCCGCGCGGCCCGCGTGTCACCGCCGCCCGGCGCGGCGCCTCCCCCTCGGCGGCGCGCCCGCTCTCACCGATCACCTCCTGCAGCTCGTAGTCGTCCCTGTTGATGGACCAGGGCAGGGCGCTCGCGTCCTCGGACATGACGGCGGCGCGGCGCGCGGCCCGCCCTGCGACTCGCTGACCTCTCTCTCTCCTCGCCGCGCCTCTCCCCGCCCCCACCCGCCGCCGCGGGGACGGCGCTCGCGAGGGCGGCGGAGGCTCGAAGCCGCGGCGGACCTCGCCCCCGGCCCCTCCGCGCGCCGCGCTCCCACCCGCCGCGGGCCCCGGCCTCGGCCTCCGCGGCAGCAGCGACGGGGTATGCGCCCGGGCCCAACCCCTCCGTCCCGCCCTCCACCCCGGCCCCACGCACGGGCCAAACTTTCCCTTCTCCCTCCACCTGCCGACACGCAGCGCGCTGACGTCACCGCGCCGGGCAGGCCCCGCCCCGGCCCCGCCCCCGACCGCCATCTGGAGCGTGGCCGCGGATGTGCGCAGCCAGCGAGAATCCGGAGGAGGTGGACGTTGACGGGAGGAGGGAAGAAATGCTTAGGGAGGAGTTTCGGGAGGGTATCGGAAAGGCAGAGGGGAGCCTAAAGTAGCACAAAGGCGGGAGCCACACTAATCATGGCGCCCAAAGGGCGACCGAGCGGAGGGGGCGGAGCCACTCCCGGCGGTTGGGGCACGTTGCCGTCTCCGTCGTCGCATTTATTGGCTGGTTTGAGAAGGACTCAGAAAGGCGATGGGTGGGAGTGGACGTCGGTCAAAGTTAGTCCCGCCTCCAGGCTCTCCGCGCGCTTCTCAGCGCCAGGGCTCCTTCAAGAGCGCCGGTACCTTGCTCGCTTTGCCCTTTTCTCCGGGGTGACGTCAGGACGTGGCCGTCACGCCCTCGAGACGTGCGAACGGCTCCGCAGGGTGTGGAGAAGGTGGCGGCTGCCGTTGGGTGAGGTGGCCTCGGGGTGTGGACTCCTGCCTACTCGGGTGCAAGGCCTTGAGCTGGGGGGCGCAGTGGAACTGGGGAGCTTATCGCTGGACGACACTGTTTTAAGGCGGAAGTGCTCGCTGCACGTCTGTCGCCGCCCTCTCCGTGACCTTGTGGGGCTGGGTGGGCAGTTCGGGTCCGTTCTCAGCTCTGGGTCCGGAGGCACCTGCCTTTGGGCTTTTCCCCCGCCGCGGCTCGGGCCGTTGAGCACGGGAGATCCGGCCCCTGCGACGTGGCGGCGTCTCAAGGGCCCCGACTTGAGTGTGACCTCCCTGGAGTGGACTTTCAGGCGGGCGCTCCGGCCACTGGGGCGGCTCCCTGCGGTGAAACGGAACGCGCGGGGCAGGGTGCAGACAGGAGCCCCGGCACGCTCGGGGCCGGGCGCGAGCGTCCCCTCCCGGACGCCTTTCAGAGCAATATTGTCACTAAGGGCGAGACCTTCGCCCGGGCCCTGGGGGCGCCGGGGGCGCCGTGCCGAGCTCTGCTGGAGCGGGGCCGCTGGCCCGGAAGGAGTCAGCCGGGGGCCGCGCAGTCGGAGCTGCCGGTGGGGTTGGAGAACGTTTCGTGGCGGAGGCCGCGTTTGCACCAGACCCTGTGGAGGTGACGGGACCTCAGCAGGTGGGAGTTGAGCCGAGAGCCTCGTCCAGTTACAGGCGGGGCCGTTTCCCAAGCCTGGAAGAGCGCAGGCCTTGCTGCAGAAGCTGGTTTCCGCCGGCACCGTCGCTGCCACGTGCTGCCCGTCATGTTGCCGGGAGAAGAGGGACGAGCGTCGGATGTATCAGATCGGAGCTGATTCCGCCTGTAAAGATTAGAGAGCTCAAGTTTCCTGTCGAGACGAAAAGTCACAAACCAGAGATTCTTAACCTGGGATCGTTGACCTGTGTGGACCATGGACAGACTTCCGAAGTTTGTGTAGTTTTTTGTGTTATTTGTTTCTGTTTTACTCTTGAAATTACGCGCAGAATAGTATACACTCCAGGGACAGACTTTGGCCACCTGCCTCATTCCCGCTTCCCCGATGGGAAGGAGCTACTAAGTGAAAATTCAGCGCATTAATTGCCCCACGTTCCTGGTGGGCATTCAGCAGTGGGTTCTCTTCTGCCTCCTCCCCACACACCGTTTAGTTGAGCGAGAATCTGCCATTCAGATCTGGTCGTTTTGCCTGCCTCCTGGGCCTTCCCACGTGGCCTCGTAGAGGTTAGCATTCCATGCTTTTAATGAGCGAGGAACCGGTGGCCATTGAGGCCAGGAGCCCCAACGTCGGCCTGGTTCCCAGCTCTAGAGCATTTTCCATGTGAGAGTGCTGTCACAGACGCAGGGTGTGACTTCTGTGTTCACGGAGGTCTGGTCTAAGAGAAGTAGTAAACAGCCAAGCAGATATGTAGATTCTGTTATAAAGGATCTGCAGAAAAGACCAGTACAGACCTTCTCTGACTTGTAACGGGGTTATGTCCCAGTAAACCCGCCGTAAGTTGAAAATAGCGTAAGTCAAATGCACTTGATACACTTACTCTCCCAAACACCATAGCTCAGCCTAGCCTACCTTTCACATGCTCAGAACACTCACATTCACCTACAGTTGGGCAAAATCATCTCTCACAAAGCCTGATTTATGACGAAGTATTGACTGTATCATGTAATTGATTGAATACTGTGCTGAAAGAAAAAAACAATGGCTAGGGGCGACTGGGTGGCTAAGTGTTGGTTAAGTGTCCAACTTGGGCTCAGCTCATGATCTCATGGTTCACAAGTTCGAGCCCCACGTCAGGCTCTGTGTGGACAGCTCAGAGCCTGGGACCTGCTTGGGATTCTGTGTCTCCCTCTCTGCCCTTCCCCTGCTCGTATTCTCTCTCTCTCTCAAAAATAAACATTAAAAAAAATTGCTGTATGGGAACAGGATGGTTTAAGTGTATGGTTGTTGACCCTGGCGATCACGTGGTTGACCAGGAGCTGTGGCACCTGCCACTGCCCAGCCTCATGGGAAAGGCCTGTCCCGCACCCGCGTAGCACTAACCGGGGAAAAGGTTCAACATTTTAGGTACAGTTTCTACTGAATGTGTATCACTTTTGTACCGTCATGAAGTCTAAAAAGTATACATCGACCCATTGTAAGTTGGGGACCATCTATGTATAACCTGTTACAGAATACTTGAGGAGCTTGGAGAACACTGAAAGGAAGCCAGCCAGGTGGAGTATTTTATTTATTTTTAAATTTTTTTTAATGTTTAGAGAGAGGGAGAGAATGTGAGCAGGGGAGGGGCAGAGAGAAAGGGGATAGAGAATCCGAAGTCGGCTCTTTACTGACAGCAGCGAGCCCAATACAGGTCTTGAACCTACCCCCCACGTGATCATGCCCTGAGCTTAAGTCAGACACTCAACCTACTGAGTCACCCAGGTGCCCCTCCTTTCCCTCTTCAGGATTAGCTCATGCCCCTGCACTTCCACCCAGCTCAGTGCTGGGAAAAGTATGTTCCTAAAGTAGGAAGACACAGGCAGTCTTCCTCGTGTGCTAGAACGCTCTGAAAGCACACTCTGGGAGAGGCCTAAAGGATACGAGCCAGGCATAGACGGCATCTACTGCAGCGTGTAAGCCCAAAAGTTGAGAATCACTGCCGGGACTGAGAATCCTAGAGGGAAACTCACACTTCCCTTTCTTTGTGGCCTGTAAGCAGCTTACCTGCATTGGGCTCTGTTTTTAGTACCTGCAGGATGGAGGAGGAAGAGACTGATTTCAAGACTTAGTGATGCTTGAAGTGGTAGTTGCAGCTGTAATAATTCAAGTTTTATAGGCTCCTTTAACAAAAGAAAAATTTCGAAGTCTTGAAATTAATGTGTGCCCTACATAAGTAACCTGAATATAAAGGAAAGCATCATTTTCTGTCTTTGTTATAAACTGATTTTCTCTGCAGTTCTATGTCCGTGCCAGGACCAACTGCGGATCGCTGGAGACTGCCCCCGGTTCTGTCCCTTGTCGCATGTCACATGCAGTGTGATGTCATCTCTTGTTAGGAGGGGGGACAGTACCCCCACCTTCCTTAGGTGCGCTTCCTCCCTCGTACCCGGAACGGTGCCCCACGCACGCACATATTCAGGGGTTGTGCGGAATAAATAGACGGAGCATGAGCGTGCAGGAGACGTGCACAAGCTAGGAGTGTGCAGCCTGGTGAGAAGCTGATGTCTTGGCAAACCCAGGAAATGAATGTCCAAAGGGACACAGAGCCTGTAAGAGTTAAGTGGGTGCAGAGGTTACTGTAGGGAAAAAAATCAGTCTGTGTAGAAAGGGGAGTCCGCATCACGCGGGATTCTGAGCCTGAAAGTAGCTTGTGGGTCCCCCGGCTGGCAGCACGCCAACTTGATGAGCTCAAGCTGAAATAAGCAAAAGATGGGAAATACTTGACTGAGGTAGAGCCAGTTCCTAGGTACCTGCTCCGTTTCAAACACCACCCATAAGAAGCTGCCTCATTAGGGTGTTTATCACAGCATCGCCGTAATGGGGGCCTGGAGACAATCCGCCTTTCCCTGACAGAGGACTGGCAGTGGCCTGGGTACATTATGTGGAGCATCTCCGGGAACATAAGTGTGTGCGTAGGTGTGATTAATGCCAGCTGAAACGACAACCCCCAAAGTTGGCTGGCTGAACCCAAAAGCATATTTCTCACGGAAAGTCCGTGACATGTCCCTGGCCCCTCTCCTCCAAGCAGAGAGCCAGAGATTTTCCTTTCTAATGTCCCGTGCCACTGTCTCCCAGCGTCTCCTCGGGGTCCTCCCCTGGACCGTCTGCGCTCAGCCGGCTGGGTAGCTAAGAGAGACAAAACCACAAAAGGTAGTGACCCCCGGAAATTGTGTTGCTTATTTCTCCCCACGTTGTGTTGGTCTCACCCAGTTGTCTGACCCCAACCTGAATCAAGGAAACTGGGACATGGCTTCCTTTGTGCCCAGGAAGAAGAAATGGGAGTGGTGAGCTTCTGGCCAGTCTCAGCTGCAACTGCTAATTTTGGTTGCCATCAGGCCAGAGCCACTGGCTTGTTCAGGAAGAGCAGTAGGAGGAGGAATACACTCTTGTACACTTTAGTCCAAATATGACCTGTTCAAGTAAATTTAAAAAGAGAAGATGGGTGACATTCTGGGTCATTCATACCATGAAACATTACACAGCAGTTAGAAAGAATGCAGTGCATCTACACATACTGGAATGGAATGATCTGTAGTGAAGGTAAACAAGCAAGTTGTAGGGGCGCCTGGGTGGCTCAGTCGGTTAAGCGTCCGACTTTCGCTTAGGTCATGATCTCGCGGTTCGTGGGTTCGAGCCCCGCGTCGGGCTCTGT